ACGCCCGCCGGGAGGGGGCGGGAAAGGCCGAGCGCGCCATTTCCGGCGCCGTCACCAGAGGTCCACGGGCTGCCCGCGGCGGTGCCTGAGAAGAAACCCCTAGGCTGCCCGCGGCGGTGCCTGAGCAGAAGCTCCTGAACAGAAATCCCAGGGCTGTCCGCGGCAGTGCCTGAGCGGAGGCGCCCGTGCCGCTCCTGCGCCTGCGCAGGGGACTTAGGTAGCGTCTCCCGGGCACCGGGAGCGGCGTGCGCGTTAGTGTCCACGGTGTACGAGGACCACCCACTTCCGGGAAAGCTGCCGAGCCTGACGCCCCGAGGGCGCGCGTGGCGGCCGCGCACGTACACACGACGGTGGCTGACAGCCTGGCTGTGTCCGACGGAGATGGGAGGTTGCCGCCGGCAAAGGCTTCCCTTTATTCTCGTGATGTAGGCAGCCTGTGACTCGTTTCAAGTTCAGCCACAGCCCCTTATGCAACGAGCACCGCGATCTAGATCCCATGTCAGAGCCATGCTGCAATATGGTATCGTGCGTGGGAGAAAACCAAATGGAGCAATGGCTGGAGCAACGTAACTGGTAAAAGATACGGAAGGAAAAAATATAGGAAAAGTGAGTTGTTTTATGGCCACAGAAAACGTCCTATATGTGGGGTAACATTTAAGACAAAACCTTGGGCAGAAAGACACGAAACAGAACTGCGCGTTGCACAGGGCGTGGTGAGGTGGTTGGCCTCTGCCAGGCTCCAGGGACAGGCAGGTCGCTATTGGAACCCGCAGAAGCCTTCTTTTCTTCCATCTGGCCCTTTATTTCAACTTTTTTTTCCTTTGACTCAACCTGGCCTCACCTAGTGTCCTGCTTCTACCCACTCCATCTCCCTTGCTTCATCATTGCGCCCTCGGGACAGTCAGGTCCAATAGACTTAGGAACAAGGTCCTGGGTCTATTGAGACAGAAATTTCTCTTTTATTATTTTTGAATTTATTTATTTAGAGAGAGAGGAAACATCGATTTGTGTCCCACTTATTTATGCATTCATTGGCTTATTGTATGTGCCCTGACTGGGGATCGAACCCACAACCTGTTGTAGGTGGATGATGCTCTAACCAACTGAGCTCCTCAGCCAGGGCCTACACAGTTTTCAATAAAACTAACCCATGGTAACTAACCTGCCTACATCTTACAATTAACGCTCCAAAGGAGCTATGACAATGCAAATAAACTGGAAGTTTCCATGTTCATATTCACCACCCCAATCAATTCTCAAACTCAATACATGGTTTCACCACGTTTTTATTACCAATGCTCAGCAGAAAAAGTAAAGCTTCGAGTTGCTATTTCTGTTTTTTCTGTTTCTTAGTTCGTCCACTTTTCTTCTGTCCTTTCTTTTTCTTCTTGACGAGAACAGCTTTTTCTCCAATAAATAAACTTTTAGAATGTCCTACATTTTTGGAAGCAAAATTAAGTCCCTTCTTCGGTTTACTGACATTCTTCAAACTGGGATTTGAATTTTGTTTTAATTTGTCTTTATTAACAGAACGCATGACTCTGAGTTTTCTCCCCATCAGTTCAGAATTATTTAATTTCAGAGCAAGATGAACAGCATCTGTATTCTGCAATACAAATCAATATGTTAATTTCAACCGGAAACTCATCTGCAAAGAAACTAGTCAAATCGCAACTTGAACGGATTAGAGCAGCTTGCACATGGCAAACCCTCCCATTTCCATGTCCAGGAGTCCAGCCCGTGTCGCAGCTGCTGGGCTGTGGTCTCCTTTGAATCATGCTCGGCACACGTTTCCCCAGGAGGCACTGCAGCTGCCTTGTCAGGTTATCAGATAAGTCACAACCCAACAGGTGCCCTTTTCTCACTGTCTAATGAACTTTCACCTGGCAGCGAGCTAGACAGTCACATGGAATCTTTTACAACCCAGTGAACCTCCTTCGCACAAGGCTCTTCTGCAGAAGCCCCGAGGTAACAGTTGACTCTGTCATGGTGCCTCAGCTGCTGGACAAGATGCCTCATAGGGTTCCATTCAGATCCCCAATCCTGTTAATCTTTTATTCTAATAGAGAATAAACCCTGACTATACACCAGATGTGTCTTAAAGAACCTGAGGAATTTATCAAGACATAGAAGACAGACCAAGCAAGAGCAGAGAAACAGTAAAATAACCACAATACAGTACTGATGGGATCGGAAGGCTGTGACCACCTTTCTTAAAGCTATCTGGAAATATATGTCAAGAGTCTTAAAACTGGTCACAGAACTTGACCTCATTAGTAATAGCCCATTGGAATCTGTATTTTTTTATTTTATTTAATTTTTTAATTTGGGAATTTGAGGGCAACAGTGATAGTTATGTCTGAGCGATGAAACGCAGTGACAAGCCCTCCCAGTGCATTTCAAAGGCATAGTGACAGTGCAGTGGCCTCCATACCTCGAAGAGCACATAGCCGAATCCTCTGCCGACACCGGTCAGCGGGTCTCTCACGATCCTCACGGCCACGATGTTCCCACAGTCCAGAAAGTGGTCCTCCACCACGGAGTCTTCAATTTCTGAAAACAAATTCAACCGAAGTGGAGCGAAGCCTGGGGATCGCTTTAGGGAGCTGGAGGGGTTTCATACCAGCCCCGTGAAAATGAGTGAAGTTACATTCCTGCCTTTTTAAAGTTACTCTTAACGCACAGACAGGTACTGCTCAGTGGTTATTCCGTTAATTTAACAATAAACAGGTACTTTGCTTATACAAACTTACTGTACGGGAGATTCCCCACAAACACCGATCGCTTGTCCCTCTGAAACACAAAGACACAGAGTCACTCACCAGAACGGAATGTGGGGTCACCCTAGAGCCCAGCCTTTCCCTCCCCCACACACGCCACAGGTGTCCGTCTCCTGTGTTCACACCAGTCCCTTGTTTGAGTCTGTCTCTTCCTTCCCCGCAGGGACAGGAGGGAAACTGCAAGAGGGAGTGGCCTTTTGTTCACGGGGAACATGACTGGCCCTGGCCATGCTCGAGAAAGGCTATGTGCTATCTGGGGGTCAGGGCCAGACGGCACATGTTCCAGGCTCTGTGGGCCCCATGGTCTCTGTTGTAACTACTCCCTTCTGCCGCTATAGCGCAGTAATACCAAACCTAATGGGGTGGTTGTATACTAATAAAACTTTATTGAAAAGAGCAGCCAGCAGGTGGATCAGGCCAGCTTGCTGACCCTGTGCTAGGTCCACAGTCACAGCCAGGGATGTCAACCAGACCTCTGTCACTTCTTAACTAGGTCACTCTGACACCACCAGCAATTAATCTATGCTTCTGTGGGTGAGCTCTTACTCATTCGTTTCAAGACACTTTTAAAAATATATGTATTTATTGATTTCAGAGAGGAAGGGAGAGCAATAGAAACATCAATGATGAGAATCACTGATCAGCTGCCTCCTGCACATCCCTACTAGGGATCGAGCCCGCAACCCAGCATGTGCCCTGATCAGGAATCGAACTGTAACTTTTATACTGGGAACTCCTGGAGAATTGAGACTATGTTAGCACAGTACACCTAACACAGAGAAACGGAAACTATTGAATGAATACTTTAACTTCCTAGCCCACCATCTATGAAATAAGACGTTTACCCAGATGATCTCTCACACACCTTCGAGCCTAACTCTCCACGATGATTTGAACCAGATGGAGGGAGTGGGGCCACGTTCCTGAAGCTGATGTGACTTCATTCCTGTGTCATTCAGGGACCAGTGCTGTGACCAGGGGCAGAGGCTGTGCCCTCTGTGCTCCCCTCAGACTGCTGAGCCCACTCCTCTCCAAGACTCTACGTTCTTTAAAGAACTCGCAGATACTCACAGATGAGGTCTCGGATGCGAGGTCAACTCTAATTCGGAATCCATTGGCGATTTCGGTCCCATTTCTGCTTTAGACATAGGAAGGGGAAAGGGCTCTTAAAAAGTAGCACTGAGTTACTGTGCCATTTGCTTTAAAGTGAAACCAAAGAATTAAAAATACTCATAGCTACTTGAATAATTCTGTGAGACCTCAGAGAGATAAAATTACCTGTTCAATGCTTTAGTAGCAGCGACCTCATCCTTAAATACTACATACGCATTAATATTTTTCTGATCAGGATGAATTTTACGTCTACAAAAAAAAGACAACGTAAAATTGTTAATCTCAAAGTCACCAAAATAAATAGCTTGTTTTCTACTCTCAATCTATAGACGACAAGAATTCCTGGAGGAAGTTTCATCTCTTTCAATAAATACTTAATAACAACAAAATTAACACACCACCTACTAGTACACAGACATTGGCTGAAACACATCACCCAAGCCTTCCTATTGGTTCTCACCGAGGCTCCATTTCTAGTAGGTTATTTCACAATACTTCCCATGACTATACAGTTTACCTTGAGGCTTAAAGACAAACATTTGACAAATTTATATGCTATTTACAGGCAAAAGGGATCAGTAAAGCATGATGTTTTCTCCAAGTGTAAAAATCTATGAAGCTAAGAGATGGTCTCAATTTTAACCAAAATGGAAACGAATATAAGACTACTCCGTTTCTCTAATTATAAACTTACTTTATTGCAGCCAACTTTTTGGACATAGTTCCCTCTGCTGGAATCTTTTAAAAAGAAAAAAAAAAAGTAAAGAAAATTCATTATTTGAAATATTACTTTAATTATAATACGTTCTAAATATCTGATTAAAATCATTCTATGGCGCCTTGGCCAGCAGGTTCAGTGGTTAGAGCATTTCATGCTCCTAGAAACACGACTATACCTGGTCTACAGAGTGAAGTCAGATACCATGTACTCGTATAAATTGACTTTAAAAAAAATACTTCATCTATGTTCAGAACATAAATAGTGTATGAAGCAGCCACACAAACCCCCCAGACTGAAAGCCTACAATCCCAGAAATGCTATTCAGTAAGTATTAATATTTCCACTTACTCAACAGACACAGCAAACAAGTCACCCATCTACCCTCCAAAATGCAGTGCTGACCCTAGTAGTAAGGAGATCATTTTACTATGTGAACTCGCTAAGTTATTTAACAGAGACAAGAGTCAGCAATAGGTACGGAAAACGACTTTTCTCTTGGGCTAGATTTGAACTCTTGATTCAGGTATTAGGTTTAAAGTCAAGTGCTCATCCACCTCACTAATGCCGCCATGGTAACAGGTCTGATTTCAATGCACTATGTCTCACAATTATGCAATTATAAGGGGGAAGAAAACATACCACAGAGCGAAATCTCACGGATTCTATTGGCCCATACTCTTTAAAAAATGACTTCAGCTTCTAAAATAAAAAAGCATATATTTAGTTCACTTCCAGAGCATCAAATAAGTGGCTACAAAAAGGAATTTTTTAAAAATATATTTTATTGATTTTTTTTAATATATATTTTATTGATTTTTTTTACAGAGAGGAAGGGAGAGGGATAGAGAGTTAGAAACATCGATGAGAGAGAAACATCGATCAGCTGCTTCCCGCACACCCCCCACTGGGGATGCGCCCGCAACCAAGGTACATGCCCTTGACCGGAATTGAACCTGGGACCCTTCAGTCCACAGGCCGACGCTCTATCCACTGAGCCAAACCGGTCAGGGCTACAAAAAGGAATTAAGTAAAACTGTCTGACAATCATTTACTGCCAGGTTTTATTTCAAGAACATTTCAGAAAAGTAGGTGACTATTCAGGTTGAAAGACAAACACATTTTATTGAAACATAGGAAAAAAATAAGTTAGCATCTCTAAGGTACATAACACTTTTGTCTTTCAATCTTTGATAATCTTTACCACATGTAAACTAAGAGGATCAATTCCATAGATTCTCTCATCTTTTCACACTGATGAACTTTAATGCTATCTCCCCATGAGAAATTCCCCGGCTGTCTGGAATTAGGACCATGGATGGAAGACAAGTCTGGTGGGAATTTTATACATTCTTCTATGTCTGGCTCGAGATGTGAAGAATGTATGTTTTACAGCTAGAATTATAATCAATTCTGACTCATAAACAATGTATTAAACATGCAACATCACACAGGCTCCCTTCCCTGGGCCTCTATTAATCTAACAGAATGATCAATAACCAAAACTATGCCACAAATGTGTTCTGTCCTACAAAATAATCACAAATAAAACGCTAGGAGACATCAGTGTAAGGGGGAGAGGAAAAAACAGGAAGTCAGTTTTTTTGTACTGTTTGTTTTTAAAGTGGAATTTAAAGTGTCCTTTAAAAGATGGGCAGCCCGGCTGGCGTGGCTCAGTGGTTGAGCATCGACCTATGAACCAGGTCACGGTTCAATTCCTGGTCAGGGCACATGCCCCGTTGTGGGCTCCATCCCCAGTGTAGGGCGTGCAGGAGGCAGCCGATCCGTGATGCTCTCTCATCATTGATGTGTCTATCTCTCTCTCCCCCTCTCTTCCTCACTGAAATCAATAGAAATATATTAAATAAATAAACAACAGACTGCCCAATGGTGTGACTGTGACAGGAACACAAAAGGAAGAAAAGGGCAGGTTCCGGTTTAGTGAACCGGACATAACGGAGGAAACCTAGGATGCATTCATTCCGTTACACGGTAAACAGCTATGGAGCCTCTAATACGTGCAGGGCACTGTGTCAAGTGCCAGGGAGAGCGCAGTGAAGGAGAGAGACAGACAGCCCTGCACTCAGTAGCACTGACAGGAGAGAAGGCTGGGTCCCTGCCATCGTTCAGATAAGATTTACAAAAGCCTGAATTGGCCAGTGACTATGGCAGCGGTTCTCAATCTGTGGGTCGCGACCCCTTTGGCGGTCGAACGACCCTTTCACAGGGGTCGCCTCAGACCATCCTGCATATCAGATATTTACATGACGATTCATAACAGTAGCAACATGACAGTTATGAAGTAGCAACGAAAATGTTATGGTTGGGTCACAACACGAGGAGCTGTATTTAAAGGGCCAGAAGGTTGAGAACCACTGGACTATGGAACAGAAAGGAGGGGTGGATTCTGGAAGCAATCTACAGAATGACTTACGTAGTCATGTAGGATGAAGTCAGAAACCCATGACTTCTTGTCGTGTGCTCACTCCACAGAGGAGCATTACACACGGTTATAAATTATTCCCCTCTCTGAGTCCGTACCACCTACAGACCGCACACTCACCTTCTTATTGCACGTGACAGGCAGATTCCCCACAAACACCGTCCTCTCGTTCTTTAACCTCTCTTCTTCTGGGTTCATTTGCGTTTTCTTCCTTTGATTGACAGCTGTGTCATCTTCATCACCAACTGTTTTTCTATCTGCTACTTGAACACCAGATTGAGAAATTTTCCTTTTCTGCCCTTGTTTCTGGTGAATTTCTTCTTCTAAATCAGCACTTGCTAGAGCATTCTCTCTTTTTAAGGCAAAAAAAAAGGAAGAAGAAATAATAGTCATGAGAGTCAGGTCTAGTATTTGACAAAGCACAGTGTTTAAAAATATTCCCCACCTACTTCTGACTTTCCTAAATTTAAACATACCATTCACACACACATCGACATTTTAAAGTAGCATTATCAAAAAGTGACCAGCACCTTTAGAAAATTCCACAGTCAGAAAGAGCTCCATTTTTGAAGATATGTTAGGACTGCCAGGTAACAGCGGGGACAGAAGTTCATTTAAACAAAAGTGGGTTCATTTAAAGCCCTTGGAGATTTCGCTGACCCTCTCCCAATGCCCAACCCCATTATCTGCCCTGGAACTCTAGGGGTACTGCAGCACCCCCTGGGGGCCTATAAAGGTCAATACACCTGCAAAATAATGCCGTAAAGCAATGGGGCCAATAGGAAAAACCAGACATCCTACTTTTATGAGTTCTGTATATTTAAAGGACTGCTTGTTGAAGGTAAATTCTGAAACGGCAAATACAATATAAAGTCTAGGGGCACATGGATAAAGTGAGGTCTGAACACCAATCAGTCCAGTAAGAAAAACTGATGGGGTATCTTAAGGAGTGAGGGGAGAATGGGGAGTAGGAGTCATTCATTCATTCATTCATTCATTCATTCACTCACTATTTCCTGGGTTCCTACTCAGTTCTAACCTCTGCTAATGCAAAGATAGAAACTATTAAAGGCCTCTTAGAAGTCAAGTCTCTGAAGAGATAAGCAAAGTTCATGATAAAATGGTGTAGACACGAAAAAGGAACAAGAGAGCCCTGGCCTGTTTGGCTCAGTGGACAGAGGGACAGCCTGCGGACTCAGTCCCGGGTTCGATTCCCATCAAGGGCACATGCCTGAGTTGCAGGCTTGATCTCCGGTAAGGGGCGTGCAGGAGACAGCTGATCCATGATTCATCATTGATGCTTCTCTCTCTCTCTCCCTTCCTCTCTAAAATGAATCAAAATATATTTTAAAAAAAAAAACACACAAAAAAAACCAAGAGAAACAAGAACGGCCTCTCAAGGAAAAGACAGTCTCTCCCACAGCCAGTCCTCAGTAAATGCTGATCACTGTTATTCTCCCATAAGGAGAGGCCCAAGCTGAAATAAAGATGAAACAAGATTGGCCCAGTAGTAACCACCGCAGCTGCCGTTCGGTGCATGGACTCCTTATCTTTTCAAGTTTTGAATATAAATGAGGTTTTCCATAATACAAATATAAAAATATCTATAATAACAGAAGTGTAATATGCTAATTAGACTGGACGTCCTTCTGGACCAAGTTGCTGCAGGATGGGGCCCAGGCAGAGACAGAGGCAGAGGCCCCCTACCCCGGTGGCGACGGCAAGCCCCTTGCATGAATTTCGTGCATCGGGCCTCTAGTATATATATATATATAATTAGGAAATGAGAAAAAATTAAGATGGATAATGCAGGTGCAATAACCTCAGTTTCTTTACATCTCAATTCCTCACTCAACTAAGAATTTTACCAACCTGTCTGCCAACGTTTTCTCGGCATCAGAAAGCTTCTTCTTCTTCGCTTTCACTTTTTTGGCAGCTTCTTGCAAACGTGGGCTTCCAATTAGGGACGGACTTTCTTCTTCCTCCTCCTCCTCCTCCTCCTCCCGTTGCCTTTTCTTGGTGGTTTCCTTGGAAAAGTTTGAAGTCAGGTGTGAGACCTCATCCTTAATAATTCAGTGGTCATGCCCGGCCCAGGGACCGGGAGGTCAGGGTCCGATTCCCGGTCAGGGCGCGAGCCCGGGGTGCGGGCTCCATCCCCAGAGTGGGCGTGCAGGAGGCAGCCGATCCATGATGTTTCTCACTCTCTATCCCTCTCCTCTCTCTAAAAAACGAATAAAAAAGCACAGTAATTCAGTGGTCTTGGTAAGTTAGCATCTCTCTCCCCGGCGCGCCCACCAAGGAAACGTCCCCCGAGCTGCACCCCACATCAGACATCCGCCCACATCAGACACCACGCCCGGCGAGGCGCACTCCTGTCTGAAAGCGGTTCCGACCGGGACTTACTTTGGGCACCGGCACGTACACAGGCGGGCGCTGCGGCTCCCGGGGGCTGA